GGGGCCTCCTCCTTGTTCCACCTTAGCAGTGGGCCTCAAGTGTGGCCCCTCGCCGCGGCCCTTCCTGGAGTCCCACGCTGTTCTTACAGCCTGGCTTAGGTGGCTCCATTCCGCACGGTCTAACCCAGACTAGCGACCCTCCTCGCTCTGGCACCCTAGGTTGACACGCTGCAGTAAGGGGCTCCGCCCAGCTCCTGGCTCTGCCTCCGCCCTTCCCAGGCCTGGGCTTTGTCCTCTGCCTCTTCAAGAGGGTAAAAGAGGCATTTCTGGACTTGAAAGTAGCAGGCTCCCCATCACCAACCGCCCAAGGCACAGCAAGCGTGCAGAGTGGCTGCTGCAGGTCATGGCTGGAAGGTGAGGGCTGGCAGCTTGGGGCCTTGTCCCCACTCCTTAACCCCGCGGCTCGCGCCAGCCCGAGAGTCTCGGCTCCAGCAATGGCCGAACACTGTCCCCTGAAGGGAGCACTTCCAGACGCAGCCACCCTGGCGGGGTCGTAGGAATTTGCTTTTAGTGCGGTCCCTCTTGCCTAATAGAGAGTAGTGGGTTCCCTGCCCAGATGATGGGGGCCTGTGCTCCCCCAGTGCTTTGGTCTCCTTATGAGCGACAAGCTGCGGGCACTCAGTAAGCCGTGAGTGCGCTGGAAGTGCACCTGGAGATGGGAGAAAACCGCGAGCGTGGCGACTGAGTTTAAATGGTTCTAATGAAGCAGTTAATTTCTCCAGACCTGTGTGGAGACTTCCTGATTGTAGCCAGAGAGACCTAACGGATGGACCAAAGGTGACCTCTGGTACTTGTGGGTCTGTTTCTAAACGCAAGCACGCAGGTCACCTGGATTTTCACCCACTTTCCCGCCGTAACCGAGGCGCGGGACACAGAGTTTACCAGCGCCCGCTGGCTCAACCGGGCAACGCAACCCTTGGAAAGACCCGAGATGATCTTAGCGCATGGAGAGAAGGGACAGGGGAAGATGGACCTGTCAAGGGTATCTGGGCTGTTGTGACTGCGCTAGGCGTGGGAAATCACGTCTGTGAAACCCCAGTGAAATCGTGCGCCCAGTGCCTGGCAGGGGTTTCCTGGCCACGGAGCAAATGTTGCCTTTGACGGCATCCTTTTCTTGAGAAAAAGGCGAGGGGGTTGCATGAGTGTCGTCAGGACGGCCTTTCCTATTTGCAGCATCCCCTCAAATTCCGTAGATTCCGTTTTGTTTGTTTGTTTTTTGAGACAATCTCACTCTGTCGCCCTGGCTAAAGTGTAGTGCCATCATCGTAGCTCATTGCAACATTATACTCCTGGGCTCAAGTGATCCTTTTGCCTCAGCCTCCCGAGTAGCTGGGACTACAGTTGCGCACCACCACACCCGGCTAATTTTTCCATTTTTAGTAGAGACGGGTCTCGCTCTGGCTCGGGCTGATCTGGAACTGTCAGGTTTCAATCTGAAATTTCTATTCTTGGGGCGCTCATGCCGGAAGAATGATCAGACACGCCAAAGTTAGGCAAGCACAAAAATGAGGTTTACTGAGAGAAAGACAGGATTATAGGGAAGAGCAAGATACAGGTTTACAGAGCATGGTACATATGCACAGATGACTACCAGACCCATTGTTGCAGCTAAGGGAGGATGAAAAGAGAGATAGGCTATCCTCTGCCTCTTATTTTATAGTGCCCAGATAGGGCACTCCCTCCTGGTTCAGAGGTCACCATGGAACCACTTTGATTGGACAGTTGGGAGTCACATGACCTATGCCCTAACTACACATGAGGGTAGGTCACTTTCCGGACTTTATGGTACCCATGCTGCTTGGCCCGGGGGCTAGAGAGTCCTCTGCATTCTTTTGCAGCTGGTGTGCCAGGTTCTGATTGGTGGATTCATACAGTATTCCCTCCTCCCCCAGGTATGGGGAATTAGGGTGAGGCAGGACCAAGATGGGGGCAATAGCCCCCACTTTTGTCCCTAGGAGACCAGGAATCCCTCACTATCTACCTAACAGAACTTCTAAACTCAAGCAATCCTCCTGCCTCTGCCTACCAGGATTACAGGTGTGAGTCACCATACCTGGCCAATTCTGTACTTTTCTCTCAGTTCAGGCCCTGAGTGAGGGGCACCTTGGACAAGGCAGAGGCGTCCTGCAGCCATTCCTAGCTGGTGGTCCAGACAAAAGGCCTCTCTGTGATCCCAGGATTGGAGGGCGTGAGCCCCTGAGGGCTGAACCCAGCCACCGCTCTGGGGTCTCCTCGAACCCACACTGCCACACCTGGCTTTGGGGTGGTTGGAAGCTTTCAGCCAATGGCTGCACTGCCTGATGAGGTAATGAGCCCTTTTTGCGGTCCCTTAGCTGGCCTGGAGCCTGTTCCCTTGTGGCCCCCAGCAAGCGGAGACTACATGGGGCTCAGGTGGGGATCCTGCATCCTCCAAGGTGCTAGGCATCCCAGAGCCCAGAGTGGCACCTGGGCACCTGCTCCCACCCTACTTACTGTAGGACCCCCACCTTCCCCTGTTCCTCTCTGGGGTCAGGTACTAGCAAAGAGGGTCAGGGGCTGGACCTAGAGACCCAGACCACTGCCTTCTGCCTCCAGGAACAACCTAATCCTCCAGTGTGCAGAAAGGACCAAAGACATCTTCACGCCGCCAGCAAAGACCCTCGAGCTGCTCATTCCAGATAATCTCACATGTATTGAGCACCTGCTGTGTGCCAGCCTATGACCCATTGGGGATATAGTGGTGGTGAAATCAGACCTGGGTCCTTGCCTTCACAGGGCTGACAGAATAATGGGGAAGAGAGGGAAAAAGGGAGGAAGGGAGGGAAGGAAGGAAGAGAAAGAAACAATAGAAAGAAAGTAAAATTTCTTTTGATTAGCTACCTGACACACCATAATATTTCTTCTTCTCCCTTTTATTAAAAATTCAAGACTAAAGCAATGTTGAAAGAATATAGAAAGAATTTTGTCCTTGATCTAGAACTGTTTTGGTTTGGTGTAAAATTAAAGAAAAAGAAAAGAAAAGAAAAGCTCTAGGCCAGGCGTGGTGGCTCTCACCTGTAATCCTAGCACTCTGGGAGGCCAAGACAGGAGGATCATTTGAGCTCAGGAGTTCGAGACCAGCCAGAGTAAGAGCCAGACCCTGTCTCTACTAAATAAATAGAAAGAAATTAGCTGGACAACTAAAAATATATATCTAAAAAATTAGCCGGGCATGGTGGCACATGCTTGTAGTCCCAGCTACTCGGAAGGCTGAGGAAGAAGGATTGCTTGAGCCCAGGAGTCTGAAGTTGCTGTGAGCCAGGCTGATGCCACAGCACTATAGCCAGGGCAACAGGGCAACTGTGTCTCAAAAAAAAAAAAAAAAAAAACCCTTATCCCACTCTAGAAGTTTCTAAACATTTAAAAAACACTACTTTGCAGTATAAGGCATACTAAAATTTCCTCTATTGTCTGAAATGTACCCCACTACTTTGATTCAGGATTATTTGAGTCATGCACACAGCATTTTTTTTTTTTTTTTTGAGACAATCTTGCTCTGTTGATGGAGCTAGAGTGCAGTGGTGTCATGATAGCTCACTGCAACCTCAAACTCCTGGGCTCAGGTGATCCTCCTGCCTCAGTCCCTGCAGTAGCTGGGACTACGGGCACCTGCCACAACGACACCTAATTTTTCTATTTTTAGTAGAGATGGGGACTTGCTCTTGCTCAGGCTGGTCTCCAACTCCTGAGCTCAAGGGACCCTTCTGCCCTGGCCTCCCAGAGTGCTAGGATTACAGGCATGAGCCCCCTCGCCTGGCCCACACAGAATTTTTAGTCAAACAAAAATTCCTCAATTTTTTGTTTTCATGACATTGACAAACTAGAAATCTATTTGTCCTATTATTGGTGATGCTAACTTTGACTTTTGGTTAAGGTGTAAAGGAAAGTTTTCTCCTCTATAATTCACAATCTGTGGCCTGGGACGTCCAGAACTTGTGAATGTCTAGTTCCTCAATAGCCTTCATCTGATAGTTTTAGCCATTGATGATCATTTCTAAATTGACTACACTGGTGGTTGTAAAAGAACCCACAGTTTTTTGATTGAATGTGAAGAGGTCTGCCTCAAGAAGCCGTCATATTAAGCCAGCTGAGGGGATATTAGATGTTACCAGAACTGGGCTTGGGAAAAGCCAGCTTCATCTCTGTCTGTAAAGCCACAAAACATTGAAATCACACCCCCATGGAGTGAATCCAGTGCATCACTTTGAGCAATGTACTTTAAAAATGAATAAACCAAATTTATTACATTTAGAGGGGAGCCAGAAGCCTGCATCCGTTTGAGAATGGCTGGGCAGAGCACACGTGAGCTTTGAAATGGGGTCAGTTCAAAAGCTCCAGAGCCAGGGGCTTCGATGAACGCTAACCGTGGGAGCATTTCAGAGCACTCATCTCGTCCCTTCAAGTAACATAGTGAATTTCCGAATTTCAGTTTCCTCTTTATTAAATGACAAATTATTTTTGAGTTCCCCGATGTTGTCCCAGTTGGCCTCAAAGTCAAACCGGCCCTTGATCCTGTTCCTTCGGCTCGAGGGAGAACTGATCCTCCTTTGTAACGTGTGAAACAAGAAGTCGATTTGGCAGCTTTCAGGTAGTCCTCGCATCCTCAAACCTGGATTCCCGATTTTCAGGGTTCAGACCCACCCAGTTGTTTCCTACGGGGAAGAGTCGATAGCACCCTGCCCCCCTGCCACTCCCAAGCCCATGGGATTCTGGTGCGGAAGACACGAGTCAATGCAGGTGGAAACTCTAATTAACTTGGAGACAGCTGGGCCCGAGGGAACACTCTCCAGAGTAGCACGAAGCCAGGGAGATGGTAATCCGCTGGACCGGGGCGGGCAGGGCTGGTGGGGCTGGCGGAGCACGGGGCATGTGGAACTGGGCCCGGGGCCGGGGGCGGAGCCCGGGGGCGGGGTCTGGCCGGGGCGGGGCCGTCCAGGTGCTAGACTCTGCGCGCGCTGCGGCCCAGAAGCGCACGGTTAGGCCTAGCTTCCGCTGTAGAGTGGTGGGGTTTGAGAGTCCCGAGATGGGAACGCTCCCAGAGCGTAAAGATATTCCACCGTGGGTGAAAGTTCCCGAAGACCTGAAGGATCCATTGGTGTTTCAGGTCCAGACGCGGCTGCTGGGAGCCATGTTTGGTGAGTGTGCCCCGACTGGCCTGGGTGCCCCGTCCCGGGCGTTTCGGTCTCCGCGGCCCGGAGTTCTCATCCCCTTACCCCTAACAGGCCCAGACGGATCTCGCATCCCTTACATCGAGCAGGTGAGCAAGGCCATGCTCCAGCTGAAAGCTCTGGAATCTTCAGACCTCACCGAGGTCGTGGTTTATGGCTCCTACTTGTACAAGCTCCGGACCAAGTGGATGCTCCAGTCCATGGCTGAGTGGCACCGCCAGCGGCAGGAGCGAGGTGAGAGACTCGGTGATGAGGGGTTTTGAACAGAGGCCCATGGGGGCGGCTTCTCTCCCTCTTCTGGTCTCTTCTCTCACCTCCTCACTGCCCGCAACCGCCACCACACCTCGGGCATCACCAAGGGCGCCCTTTGCGTCTGGGCAGTCTCTAAGACTTCTTTGGGGGTCTGGGGCCTAGGGTGCAGGCCATTCCTCCTGGGGACCCAGGGGTGAGACTATGATGAGAGGGGGCCGGGCTAGACCCACTGGGCGGGATTATGTGTGATCTCTCCACCTTCTCCCCGCTCCCCCAGCTTCTTGGAGAATGTTAGAATGGGCCGAGTGGTTCCATGTTCCGAGGTTCCCAAGAATCTCAGGCCCAGAATGCCTGGCTCAGAGGGTCCTAGAAAGGAATCCTGAAAGAGGCAGAATATGGTCGGGCTCTTACCCTCCCCCACCATACTCACCCCGCTGTTGCTCTTTCTGGTGCAGGGATGCTCAAACTTGAGGAAGCCATGAGTACCCTCCAATTAGGCCCTTGGATGAAGTGAAGCCAGTTTCCAGACAATGTGACTGAGGCCAGGATGTCACGACATTAGGTTCCGGCCAGAGCTGGAGTGGTTCCAGCTTGGTTTAAGCTCTGCTCCAGCCTGATGAGTTAAGGAAAAACCATCCGTTTTTTTTTTTGTTTTTTTTTTTTGTCTCTGCCCTTACTGAGTCCTGATGTAGTTATTAGTTAAAGAATAAAGTTTTAAATAAGTAAATAGCTCCTTGACATTGTGGTTGATGGATTGGAGGTAATACCTTAAATATCTCTCAAGAGCTCCTGAGGTGTGGCTGTTGAGCTTAACCCTTGATGGAAACTTCCCAAAGCTGAAAAGAGGTCCGAGGGCCCTCTTGGCTAGGGTGAAAAAGGGTCTAGAAGCCAAGACCTGAGATGCAGCACTGAACCAAAAACCTAGGGGTGATGTGATGATACAATCTGGAACTAATCTGTCCTCTCATTTAAAAATAATCCTATAGTAGGTTGATAGAACATTTACAAAATAAGCATATGTTTTCCAAAACAAAAATATGGAAAGTGCCAGGATGCTATGACCTTAGGCAAACTGTTTAACCCCCACAGTTTCTCAGTCTCTAAAACGAAGATAACACCATTTGACCCCATATGAAATTATGAGATTAACTGTTAACATATGTAGGGCACTTTGGACAGGCATCTTATGTAGTAGCAAGTGTTGACTATTTCTTGGATATGTTTATCAGTAATGGGAGAGAAAACTAACAGCTATTTTCTGCAAGAGACAAATCTGGCATGTCCACCAAACAACTGCTCTCCCCTTTAGCTGTCAGTAAGTGAACAGCACCACCATTTTGGACCAATGGTTCAGGCCAAAAATTAGGGGGCTTCCTTGATGCCTGTCCCCCAACGTGAAATCCATGAGGGAGTCCAGTCAATTTGGCCTTATAATCCCCCCCATGAGACCATCCTGCACCTGCTGATTTAAGGAAAGACCTTCTATTTGGGGGTCTCTGCCCTTGCTCTGAGTCCTGATGTGAATGTCTTTTTCCAAGGTTGCTAATTAAAGTTTTAAAAAAATATATAGCTCTTTGACATTGTGGTTGATGGATTGGAGGTAATACCTTAGCTATCTCCAGTCCCATCCTTTCTTGCTAGGACTACTGAAAGAGACTCCTAACAGTTCTTGATTTCTTTTGTTCATCTCGGGGACTGTTCTTTAGCAGGCAGACTTAATTTTTAAAATGTATATCATATGGCCTCCCCTCCAAAAGGGACACCACAGTTTTCCATCAAACTTAAAAACTCAAACTCCTTTATGCTGACCTGTAAGGCCCTGTGGAACCTGACCTCAGCCTAATGGGAACTCACATTTTTTTGCCCTCTGCTCTAGGTTATCCTTATGCTGCCCCTCAAACACATTGTGTATGTTCCCACTTACAGGCTTTTTTTTTGCTGGTTCCGGGCCTCCAAATTTCAGATTTTCAAGTGGTTTTGCTCTCTTCTCTCAGGTGGTCTGTACTTACCTCTAGGGAAGTCCGTCCTCCAGAGTCTCTGCTTAACTGCTTTATTTTTATTCATGGCATTTATAAACTTGACTGATAGCGTTAGCTACTTATTTTCTTCCTCTCCCCTACTAAAATGTAAACTCCAACAAGGATGTTGATTTTTATTTTTTTAAAGGGGCAATATGGTGTAGAGTGGTTAAGAATAGTGTTATAAGACACACCAACTAGACTGCCTGGGTTTGGATCTTGGCTCAGCCACTTTCTAGCTTGCAAATCATGAACATGTTAGCCTTGGTGCTTCAGTTCTCCATCTATAAATATGGAGACAATATCTATCTCATGGGGTGACAGGATTAAATGAATTAAGACTGTCCTAAACCTCTTTGAAGTCTTAGAACAATGTCTGACACAATGGGCATTCAATAAATATTTCTTGAATGCGTGAATAAGAGGTACTCTTGCTCCATGGCAGGACTGTAGCTAGATTCCTCTCCTCCCAGGTCTGAGGAGGGACTCCAACTTCCAGCCCTGTCCTCCTAAGAGTCTCATCACTGAAGACTCAAAGAGAGAAAGCCATGAAAGTCCTTTGTAAAGGCATTGTTTTCCTACCGTGTGGAAGTACAGAGCACAGGCACAGTTTTCTGGGGTCATTAGATTCCACACAACCTGTGGGGTCACTGGAAAGACAAAGGTACATTTGGAATGCTGTTTCGGTTTATTTGGAGTGAAGAGCAAGAGACCAGTCATGTATCCCGTTGGTGACAACTCAGCCTTGACAACTCTGGCCTGAAGGTCCTAGACCACTCAGCCCAGCTCCTGCTCAAGATTTTGGAGGAAAATCAGTCTCGCCTTTCCCAAGGAAATGATAATTGTTAAAACACTTCCATCCCTGACTTTGAAGAACTAAACACAGATACATGCATTTCTTCTTCTTTGGAGTGTTAGAACGGAAACTTAGCTCCATGTGCTAAGAAGCCACAGATACTAAAAAGGATGATCTGCCTTGCAGAATTGTTCTTCCCAGGTAGGAAGGTCTTAGGGACTCTCAGTTATTGGTTGCCAGGGCCAGAGGCAGTATCAGGGTCCAAGTGTCCACAGATTGGGGAGAGGCTAATATTGGGGTGAGGTGGGCTGTGGGAAAGGGCATCTCAGTTTCCAGGGAAGAGACTGGCCATGGACCCCAGTCACCTTAAGGTGGTCCCCAGTAGCTTTGGGCACATTTTGAACAGAATGGCATTGAGCAGGATATTTCTGGAAATGTGTCAACAGTTGCCGTATGAGACAGAACAGAAAGTAAAGAATACTGGTTGTTGCTACATTAAAAAACATTTTCTTGGCTGGGCACGGTGGCTCACGCCTGTAATCCTAGCACTCTGGGAGGCCGAGGCGGGCGGATTGTTTGAGCTCAGGAGTTCGAGACCAGCCTGAGCAAGAGCGAGACCCCGTCTCTACTAAAAATAGAAAGAAATTAATTGGACAACTTAAAAATATATAGAAAAAATTAGCCGGGCATGGTGGCCCATGCCTGTAGTCCCAGCTACTCGGGAGTCTGAGGCAGAAGGATCACTTGAGCCCAGGAGTTTGAGGTTGCTGTGAGCTAGGATGATGCCACGGCACCCTAGCCCGGGCAACACAGTGAGACTGTGTCTCAAAAAAAAAAACATTTTCTTAAGTAGCATACCAATTTAATATTTAAATATTTAAATTTGTTTTAAACAGACACCAGTCACATGGATCAAAATCCTAAAATGATAGCCTAGTCTTCCTCCTAGCTCATTTCATATTCCTGCATTTTCTACTCCCCAATAAAAAGCTTTATTGTCCTTTCTAGAGTTGTTTTTTTTTTAAATGCAAACACAAGCAATTATAAATGTAGATTATTTTCTCTCCTTCCTTACTGATGGGTGGTATTCCATTCTCTACAAAAGGACTTTTTGGGATTATGATGAAACTTTTGCTTTTACAAAGGTGCCATGAATCCATTGAAGACCACTGTTTTGCAAGTAGTATGTCTGTAGGCTAAATTCTCATAGGGAAAATTGCTGGTCCAAAAGGCAAAAACATAATTTTGCTAGATATTACCAATTTGTCTTCCATAGGGATTGAAACAATTTCACTCCCAGCAGCAGTGTATGAGATTGCCGCTTTCCCCATTGGCTCACTGTTTTTAGCTGATCTGATAGGTGAAGTCTCCTTGTCTTCTGTAACTTCTAGCTTGGTTTGCTTTATGGACTAACAGTTGTGACAGCCTCCAGTTACCTCCAGCTAGTGCACCCTTGGAAGAATCTGTTGGCAGTGAATGAATGTGTGTGTGAGAATGTAACTGGATACTTTTGAACCCCAATTCTGCAGTGTGAGTGAAGACTAAAGCACAGAAAAACTGCCCCTAGAGCTTTAAGTCAAAAATTCCATCTTAAGGGCAGAGCTTCTAAAAGTAAAACACTTTATGCAAATTGATGTCAATTACGGTAGGAAAAGAGGGAAATTTAAGAATCTGACATATATTCCATGCATATCATAGTCTAAAGGTTTTTCAGCCCTAAAAGAAAAAAATCAACAAGAAAAAATTCATAAGAAAAATTTTGGAAGTAACAGTTGGAAGGTTAAAAACAGTGTGTTGTCTTGGAGTGGTTTCCTTTTTTGAATTTCAAGCTCTCAACCAGCTTTCTATCCAGGGTAAGCCAACAATTGTGGGAAACAACAAGCTTTCATTGTTATGGAGATAAAGGGGTCCGCCCTAAGGAGGGTCAGACAACGGGACTGACAAGTTTTGGAAAGAAGGTAAAATAAGGGCATAGTCCAGGAAAGCCTTATAAAAAAAGAGGCGATAAACAAAAGTGAAATCCTTTGACCCCAAAGTGGCTAATAATAATGACAATAGCCTATGCTGATTGAGAGCCTCCTGCCGGCTGGGATCTCCATCGGCTCTTCCATTATTAACTCAATCCTCAATATAATTCCCATTGTATAGTTCAGGAAACCGAGGCCCCAGCAGTCACACCACCTCTTCAGGATTTATATATTCGCATTTACCTTTTACTATTCTGGTGGGCTGGATACCAGTGGGAGACCGACTGGTTCCTAGAAAGGCTCCAAGCTGTCACTGCTAGTGGGGCCGGGGTACGGAAGCCGCCTGCAGGGTGGTCTGGAGCCAGCCCTACAGGAGCTTCGATGGTTGGGAGTCACAGATGTAAGAAGCCGTGAAATTAACGATGGTGCTACGTGTGACCAGGAGCCTGATTGTGCTTGGGAGGCTGAAATGTGGGGGACGGGACCTGCGCAGGGAGGTCAGGAAAGGTCCCCCGAGGAAGTCACCTGTGGGTGAGGCCTGAGTGACTGACAGCAGTGAGCCAGGCGAGGAGGAAGGGAAAGGTGGCCTGCAGAGACCTGGGAAGAGACCAGGGAGCTGCATGGCTGGGACAAGGCCAGGAGGGAGGAGGCAGGTCTGCTCAGGGTCTCGCTAACGGGAAGGTGACTTGTGTAACCACCCAGAACCACTCGGAGCAAATTAGTTTCCTTCTCCCCTCCCGCTAGGATCTCAGTGTGGGCCGTGATTCTTCTCTAATCCCTCTGCCCTGCCTCCCCACTGCTTCCATCGACTCATTTATTGATTACATTCGTTGAGTGTCTGCTTTGCCACCTATT